CGTCACTTTTATGATGATGTACAAAGGATTAAAATAGTTCACGATGATTTTGTTTGTTTTATTTTACTTTTAAAAAAATGTGTGAGGTTGATTAAAAAAAAATGGAGAACGTTAGTAATGGGAAATTTGAAAGTTTGATTAGAGAAATCCGTTATTTCGGTTTGAATTTTGTTTGTCTCTGTGTATGCATGGTATAAAGAAAGAAAAGAGATGAAGAAAGGAAGAAAAGGAAGAAGGGAGAATTAATGATAAGAAGAATCAGAAGAAAAAGAAGAAGCAGAAGTAAAACGAAAAGAAAAAGGAAAAGAAGAGAAAATCAGAAACGTAAATAAAACAAAAAGAAGAAAAAAGAAGAAATAAAAAGTAGCATAAATAAAACAAGAAAAAGAAAAAAAATAGGAAGAAGAAAGAAGAAAACACAAAAGAAAAAGAACAAGACGAAAGAACACTCTAAGGGTTTTAGCGCCATGTTTAAATATTTGCTTTCGGTGAGATACTCACATTCACACAACTAACGTAATAGTAATGGGGAAGAATTCAAGCATTTCATCATTAGTAGATCATGTTTGGACTTCAATGGTACGAGAGGTAGTTAGTGGACACTATGCAATACGAACAGACTATACTGTAGACAGCGACTGAGCCCCTAAGCCACCTAGGCTCAGAATAACTATCACACCGGGCCTGGAGCATCACTTCAAGACACGCGTCTGTGACTGGTATAACACCTATGGAATAATTTGAACATTTCTCTTAGGATCAGAGTTGTTCATGACTACTATAGGATATGGGTCTGTTCACGAAAACTCGAAGAAAAAGAGGTCTCTCATGCAGCGAGATTGATCAGTGACCTAATTCTGACCAAGGAACATAAACGGGTTCAGGAGCTTGCAAGCTGTTATAAGGATAATATGACGTCAGATAATCTTCTGCAGGTTCTTAAAGCCGACAAGGAGGTCAGAGAATTAAAAACTCAGAATCGTAGTAAACACTGGGAACAATTCTTGCAGAGTATCGATAGACAAACTTCTGTAGCTGACGTAAGGAGAAAGATTAATAGGCTGACCAGTATAGCTCTCACAACACCGCAGTTCCATAGTCCACAAGAACAGGTTAGAGGCACTGCTAGAACTCACTTCCACAAGGGATAAAAGATCAACTCAACAAGTCGAAAATAGACAGGAATTTTAATATAGCAGATGCCTGTGCTGCTGTTGACCCCTCTGACTTTGCCGAAATAACCGAGTGGGAATTGAGTTATGCCCTTCTGAAAGGGAAGGCAACCGCCCCTGGCGAGGATGGCATTACTCACAGCGTCCTTCGCCTCACTGCGCAGGTACCAGGCAACCCACTTTTACACCTGTACAGACTCAGCCTATCACAAGGAATCCTCCTAAGCTCCTGGACTAAAAGCTTAAGCATTCCTATATCCAGACCCAATGCTGACAAATACAGGCCCATTCCCTTGGCCTCCTGTCTGTGCAAAGTACTTGAGAGAATAATGCTGAACAGACTTATGTATCACTTAAATGCTAAGTTATCCCCCAGACTATATGGATTTCTCCCAGGACGTACCAGTCAGCACGGTTTTGCAGAGTACAAACTGAAACCTAGGCATGCAAACCGTATTACTTGATCTCCAATCTGCCTTCGATATTGCTGAGACATTGGGTACAAATAACATGGAAACTCAGCTGAACATACCCATAACTAAGACCCTATATGGACGTTCTGTTCCGCCGTGGAAAATGTCGGACCTAAATATATATTAAACGACTGCCTCCCCAAAAAGACCCATCTGCTATACTTAAGCAATATGCACTTGCAATTATAAATGAGCATCTTGAAACTCTGTCCAATGCATACTAATGCTACACTGGCGGATCCTTGTAGCCTGGGAGCAGAGGAAGATGCGCCTTTGTTGTATATAAAAACAATACTTTGTAGCACCAGGATTGTAGGAGGGTTCATGACTGGGCTATCACTACGCAAACTGAGTTGGCAGGAATACTCATGGCCACCGAATTTCTATTGAATCAAGGCTCAGGGTTAGGTTTCTGCGATCCACAGAGTGCTCCACGCTCTGAAAACTCTGGACAAAGGTGCAGGAAATATTGCAAATGCCATCAGGATAAACGTGTATCGTGCAAAAGAACGAGGCCATGACATACGTTTTGCGTGGATTCCATCGCATGTTGGAATCCCAAGGCATGATCATGTTGCTCGCCTAGCAAAATCAACATGTGGAAAAAGATCTTGGGGTGTCTCTTTCTATGATTTTATACATCATTAACGCTTCCTTCAAAGAGGACTTGACTAAGTTAATTAATTCTCAACACCCTGAAATCTGTATCATAAAGCACTATGACCGGTTTACATTCACCTATGGTTTATATAAAACAAGAATAAGACAGTGTGATATTGTGACCGCAAGAATCAGGTTTGGATATAGATTGCATAAGCAGGTCAGTTTATATATATATATATATATATATATATA